TGATTGAAACAAATTTGTTTCCTGGTAGGAATTCCATGTCCAAAAGCAGAAAGACATTTAAACCATAATCCTAACCTTAACACTGACTTGTGTTTATTGTTTCATTCTGTAAATATTTTGTGTTGAATCCATTTAAATGTGCTAAGTAACTTATAGAATTTATTGCAGAAAGCACAAATATAAACTAAGACTATGTAACGTCAGATTCTTTGGGAGTTGAAAAGTAAACACCGTATTTGATTTGAAAGTCATTTTTTTCTGCGGGATTAAACATACCACCGATGTTTCCACAAAATCTAACTATCAAAAAAAAAGAAGAAAAAAAAAAAAGGAATATACTTTTGTCCATGTGTAGATTATTTGATATTCTGACTTATAGTGATTCCTATGCAGAGAAGAATTGCAAATCTAATTGGTTAAATGAATTCATTTGAATAGCTCAGTATTAATGGTTCTAGTTTGGAGATCATTGAAAAGCAGGATTCCATATGATTGCGCATTGGTTGAACTAAAGAAAAAAACTTTATAGACAAACAGATAATCATTTATTATAATAAATTTTATATTTACTAAAAGGGATTTCTTATCGGATAGACTAGGACCACAATAATTGATATGAAAACGAGGCATAAGAATGTCCAGGAATCAACTGAGATTAAAAACTACATAAATTGCAGTGATGGCCGCATATGAACACTAAATTATAGGAACACAGATATACATACCTATAGCCAGAGAAGAACATACACATTGAACTATATATATATATAGTCATCCACAGATAGACTGTTTCGCAGCTCATCAGTGTCGCTAAACATCCAATTATCTCAAGCCGGGATCGAAACCCACCTGAGTTGGCGTCAGTCGGAGATTTTACGCCTGATCTATCTGGTTACGAATATAAATTTACGAAACAGTGAAGTAGACAGGGATAATATATTTAACCAAAGGTTAATTTTAAGGAATTTCAAGATATATATATAAAAAATTATATCCTTCAAAACTATCTTAAAGAGATTTCTAATATGATTATTATAATGTGATAATTATTATATTAAGTGGGTAATAAAACATTGCAATATTAAATGCGAAAAATCAAAGAATTAAATAAATATTATGTGGACCATTATATATTAATACAATAATGGATATGTAATTGTGAAGCGTAGATTTTTTATGAAAAATTCTTATACAACGCCTGCAAATTACTGTTAATTCCTTCCTCTGATTTAGGAGATCATTATTTTTAGGAAACTTTATAATGTGTAGCTTTTCATGTAGACAGAGGGGGCATGGGTCATTTAAGGATTTGCAAATTATCGTTTTTTGGAATATTTTCCATTTTACGGTAGAGGTTTTAATTTTTTTTAAATGCCAAAAATATTTAGAGAGAGATATTCGGTTCCGGTACACATTGTTGCTGAAAGAAGATATATGCTGATACCACCTATGTTTAAAGGGGACTTTGTACTATCAATATAAAAATTCTTAGCAGTCGGGTTTTCCGTAAATGAAATGGCGCATTGGTAAACAATTGATTCTGTAAGACACCTATTTTACAATGGACAATTTATAGGATTTCTACAATTACACATTTTATTATCATTATTATCGATTTCTGCTTTGGAATTATTATTGTTACTTTGGTTTAAGTGTTGATTTAAAATTTTATTATCATCTTTTTTAATAACTTTTTCTAGATTATCAGTACAACTATAACTTAATTTAATCCTATTTTTATTGAAAATCTTGCTTAGAGGATTATTACTTAGGAAATGTTTCTCAATCAAACTGAGAAACTTTTGCCCTAACTTAGTGCTAACCATTTGGTTTGAATGTGTACCAAATTATTTTTCTATTTCTATTTTTTCTGGTTAGCATTATCCTTCTGTATTTAATATCCGGATATTTATAGCCACTATTTTTTAAGCATTGTTATAAAAATTACAGTGTTTATAAAATACATCTTCATTGGCAGAGTTAATACTAATTCTATATTCTATGGATAAGGATATGTTTTTTATTATGGATGGTGGGTGAGTAGACTTTGCGTTGATATATAATGCATTAGTATTTGTTTTCGTGTACGGTTATATATTGTTGAATATGTCTAGTGTTATATCGAGAAAGTTTACCTTTTTTTTAAAATTTGTGTTGATTGTAACTTTTAGTTTTAGGCTTTTTAACTCTCTATGTATTAATTTTCTAATTTTGTCAGTTTTGAAACCAGTAAACTTCCTCACAGCCATAAGGCCATCATCTCTATTTAACACTATATCCACTATATTGTTGTCATGGTGGGCAGTAAGTAAGTTTGTATAAAATGAACAATCCAATGGGGTCGGAAGATTCAGCAGAGTCTAACGACCCCACTGTAATGTCAAATTGGTCACTTGAATTATTTTTTATGTGTCTTTCTTTGTTGTGGATAAGAACAGATTTTTTCGTTCATAATAATATTCCATAAAATCCTTCGATAGATAAGAATACACTGTGGCAAATTCCAAAGCAAATATAAAAATCTCCCTTGATATGGACGGATAGTAATCCTCTATACTAGCCGTCGTTTTACTCACAAGGCTTGTATCAACCCATGTTATGATTATGTGAGGTTGGATCAATAATTACGTAGACTGATACGTATTTTTAAACCGAATTAAGTGTACTTACAATGAAGGAAATTATGTTGAAAGATAAATATTTGTTATCTAAAATAAGTGCTTTTTCATTATTCTATAAACATTGATCTCTCTTCTCTCTCTCTCTCTATGTGTGTGTGTGTGTATGTGTATGTGAATGTGTTGTGTGTGTTTTGCACCGCAGTAACAATAGCCTAGAACTAAATTTCCATCGCACATCAACTAATAAAAATGATCTCATAAATTTCTATTCTCACCTTAATAACAAAGTAAAATCTAGAATAACCATCAGATTCTATTTAAGAGAACTCAGAATTTGTAGCCCTTGATATTTACCTGAAGAGGAGAAATACATTAAAAAATACTTTTAAGCTCCTCCATTATCCTAATTATTTCATATTCAAACCTAGACAAAATGCTTGTAAAATATTTCAAAATTGAAAAGCGGATTTTGCTAACAATTCCAACGAATCGAGGTATATTATTCTAACCACGAACTCTATCACAGCTACAACTGAAAAGAATTTATTTAACCTTAACATAAAATTTGTTATGGAATTTACTGTACTACCTGTATTAATTGCCATACGGAATACATCGAAGAAACCTCAATAAATTTAAATGAAAAATTATATGAACACAAAAGGGATCTTTTACAAATCTTATATATATATATATATATATATATATATATATGTGTGTGTGTGTGTTTCGTTTAATGTTTGAAGTCATTGCGTATTTCTTAACGGTGTTGTATTTCTTTGACGGTATGGTTTTTGTAATTCAAGGCAAGTAGGTCCACACCGCTGTAAATATATTTTTTTTTACTATAATTCATCTGATACAAGTCCCAAGAGCCACTGAAGGTAGAGGGTGGCTGAATGAGGTGTTTTGATATGAATCTAAGTGGAGGTAATAAAACTTGAAAAAAATTCAGATTATAACGACTAGGGAAGCATCTACGTGGCTGTTTTTGAGAAAGAAGCCTTTCTGAATGGGATTTCTTATCAATGGAGTGCGCAGAGATTGAGCGTGTGCCTCAGCACTGTGGATGTAGCAAAGTGAGTTTTGGCTGTAAAGGTTTTAACTAGTAGCACGAAAGAATGGGATTCATTTGAAGATGGGTGTAAATCCCTTTATCTCTTCCTAATTTTTCCTGTCTGAATCAACTATGTTTAATAAAAACAAATATTACGAGAGAGGAGCGAGAGAAGAAATATTATGAGAGGGAGTGGAGCGGTAGAGAGAGATAATAAGAGCAATGAGAGATATTTTTTAAAAGAGGCGTAAATATATTAATGCAGAAGAGAATGAAGAAGAGAGAGGGGGGGAATGAGATGTAACGAGGAAAATTGATTGAGTTGTTTTTTAAGATATATCAACCTTTTGAAGGTTATTTAAAGCCAGAAATTATTTTTAGATTGTAAATATTTGGGGGAAATGATAATGATTTGCTGATACACGCGATACTAATTAATCCATGGCTGGGGGGGCAAGAAGAATTGGATCCATATCTTTCCGACTAATAATTGCGCGTAGGTGAATCTAACGAACTCAGCTCAACGATTTGCAATTCTGTGCTCGTTGTCACTTACACCACCCGCACATCCAAGCTTACAGTACCTGATATACCCATCTTGGTATGGACCAAACTCAATGCTGCTTTAGTACGGGAAACAGAGTTTTAACGCGATTTGGCCGCAAGCACCTAAAAGGGAATAGAAAAGACTATAATGGCAACAGAAGAAGAAGTAAAGAAGGATAGAAAAATATATCTTTTATATGTTTTTATCTTCGAAGAATCCAGATACATCTTTTTTTTTTACTGATTGTTAAGGATAAACTGTACTTTGCTTCTAAAAGAAACGGTTATTATCTCATAAAAGTACATTCGTCATCGTATGTTGATTGGCTGGTATTAGTATTACAGCCATTATACAGTTGACCCTCGATCACTGCACTCTGCGCTAGAGCCGAATGAATTGGCTTATTTATGGATTGCTAGGCAACCAGTGAAACGGTTGGATCATGTAGGTGGAGAGTGGGGGTGGTGAACGTTGTTGTCTTCCCACTTGCACATATCTTTTGGTAAGAAGTGGCGAAAGTTACATTTAGAAATAATCAGAAAGAAAGAGGACGGTAAGAGATAAAACGAGATAAAAAAAAAAGTGAAAAATAAAAAGAAAGAGAAGAAAAGCAAAGAACCTTGTCAGGCCATAGAGTAATGGTTAAGACACCATTCTCGTTACTACTAAAGTTGAACTTAGTAAAAAGTATGATTCATGGATGAGATAGTTGTTACTTTCAGACGTTGATGCTTGAATAATAATAATAAAAAAACAAGATGTCGAATGCAGATTTTTAAGGCAGGCAAGTAAGTGCTTCGCTATTGCCTTTTCTTTTCATATGGCAATATGGCGGGCAAAAGTAAACTTTCTGAATATCAAGAAAAGAGAAAGACTGAAAGAAAGAGAAAGACATAAAACTAGATATAGAAGATAAAGATAAAAAGAAAAAAGAGGCAAAAGAAAAAGAAAAGAAAAGAAAGAAGATTTGTGTATCACTTTGATTTCCTTCTTTCTTTTGAGAAGGAAGGAAACGTTGGAAAGAAAATACAAAAAAATAAGAAAAACGAAAGAAAAAGAAAAAAAGGATAGAAAGAAAGCAAAATAAAAAAGCAGAAATGACGATAGAAAAGTAGATAAGGAAAGAAAGAAAGAAAGGAAAGAAAAAGGTAGATAAGGAAGGAAAGAAAGAAAGAAAGGAAAGAAAAAAGTAGATAAGGAAGGAAAGAAAGAAAGAAAGGAAAGAAAAAAGTAGATAAGGAAGGAAAGAAAGAAAACAGAATGAAAAAGAAAACAAAACAGAGAAAAATAAAGAAGGAACGAAAAAGTAAACCAAAGAAAGAAAGAAAAATTTGAAGCAAAAGAAAGATAGAAAGAAAAACAAATAGGGAAAAGGGAAAGAAAGAAAGAAAAAGGAAAACAAGGAAGGAAAGAGAAAAAGCAAAAAGCAAATAGCAGGACGAAAGAAAAATAGAGAAAGAAAGAATAAGAAAGAATAAAGCAAAACAAAGAGGGAAAGAAAGAGACTAAATGAAAACAAAAGAAAGATAGAAGAAAAGTAAGAAACAAAGGTAAATTAAAAATCAAAAACATCAAAAAATAAGGAGAAATAATAGAAAACATCCAATGAAATATAGGAGGATGGAAAGAGAAGAAAAACACGAAAGAAGTAAGAAAATGAAAGAAATCCTATCTTCGCCTTTTTTATCATATATATATATATATATATATATATATATATATATATATGAGTGTGTGTATGTTTGTGTGTAAGCTTCTATTCTATTATAGCTTTGACCTTGTGTATTTGATGGGGGGAAGGAGAGAGGATACATGCAACTATAGATATCCAGATCCGCAGGTGCGTGCATATTAGATATTTCTCTATCTATAACTTGACATGTACATGAATACATTTGAAAAAATTAAAGTGTCAAAAAAAAAAAAAAAAAAAATACAAAAATAAAAAACAAAAAAAAAACTATATGATTTCTTTGTGAAAAGGTCGAAAGCCAATTAAGGATGGCTGTAATTTGGTCTAAATTTTGGTCACGCTCGCTTCTCTTTCAAGGAATCGAATCTAAGCGCTGGCCACGAAACGTCTCGCTGGCATCTCTCTTTTCTAGTTTCGCGTTTACTTTGCCTGACTGCAGTTTGCCTCATTTCGTATGGACGCCACGTTGCCGGGTGTGGCGTTAAGCATTAAGTTATTCGGGTCAGCTCGAAAGACCAAACATGGTCTTTACGACTCGAGAATTCAAAGAGAGGAGAAAATAAACTTCTATTGAGTTGAGTGGTTTGAGGTCGATCAATTGAGGGATCCTTTCGTTTTTGTTTTCCTTTTTTATTTTGCCACTAGTATTTTTCCAAGACTTCCTTAGACGTAGTAGCATAGGTGGGGGGGGCAATTTAGTTCAACAGGATTGCAGTAGATTTAAAACCGATACTTCTTCTCTTTGGAAGCGAGAAGGCAAGCAAATATAAACTGAAAAAAATCCATCGATATGGAAGCTAGTTCATAGTTGACATTTATTCCGCTTAAATTACTAACAACAGTCTGTGAGATTAGCTTAACTCAATCACGTAGGTACATGTGTAGATAAGTTGCTATTTTTTAAAACGCAGCGGGAATTTAAAACGTTTTAAAATCTTTTTTTAATTTATTCTATTTATGAATTTAAATCTCTTGAACATGACCCAGAGGATAAAAGCGTTGGTTGAAGTAATCCAATGATTTGACCCAAAGAGTTGTAAGTTCAATACCTGGCAACAGCAGAGGCGAACAAAAACTTGGACAGTTGAGTTAATAAAGGGAAATAACTGAAATTGAGATATCCAGTAAAGGCATGGCACTAGAACAATCTATTTCTGTGTAATAAAGGGTTCAGTTTGTAATTCCAACGTATATTACCTGAAGAAGCCCGAGGCCTGCAACGTTCGAAACGTCGTGAATATGATAATAAGGATGAGGACAACAGTCCGAAAAATGTAAATAGAGTGAATAGTTACAATGCTTCATCTCAGAAATATAGGCAGATCCCGAAGAAGGTCACAGATCATACTTTTAAGGATTCCTTTTAAGTATGGTCTGTCAAATACCTACCTGGCACAGGGCTCGCCTCTGGGCTGGTGGTATTACGGCTAGGACTAGCTTGGACCGGCTCCGGCCTGGACCAGCTTGGACATGCCAAGACCAGCTATGACTAGCTTAGACCAGCTCTGACCAGCTTGGACAAGCTATGACCAGCTAAGACCAGTTTGGACCAGCGGCCCGAGTAAAAATATTCTTGTCCCCACGTTAAAAACTGACCTTGTGTCACAATCTGACTCAATGGGGTGGGGGTCAAGTAAATATCCAGATCCTGAAGAAGGTCGGAGTGTACAAAAGCCGAAACATCGTAAAAATGGAAATACATTGAGGACTGTAGTCCGAACAATGTAAATAGTGTAAATAATTACAGTGCTTCATCTCAGAAATATAGACAGATCCTGAAGAAGGTCGGAGCGTACAACGGCCGAGAATCCGACAATATGATATGTACAGTAATCCGAACAATGTAAATAGTTACAATACCTCATCTTAGAAATATAGACAGATAAAAAACATTGCAACATTAAACTTTGCTAAAGATCAGGTTTTTCGAGAAAACTAAAAAATAGTAAAAAATATTTATTAGAAAAATTCTTTTTCGTATTATATTTCAAAGTGTGGTTCAACATGGCGATTTTTTACACAACGGATTTTCTTTTTTTCTTTCTTTCTAACCACCGAATCTAATTACCTCACCTGTTATACGCACTAAATTTGGGTTATATATCAGTGTCATGATATTCATTAAGAAGGTCTGAGTATGGAAGAAAGCAAAATGAAGAGAATATACAGAGGAAGATTATATAGCGCCAATATTTGAAATGAGATTAATATGCTTGCATTTAAGACGTTTACTCTATCCTTAGTTGAAATAAGACACCAAACTCCAGCAGTAAATATTTAAACTCCAAACAAGAAAGCTTACAACTGCTGAACATTCGGTGAGGATGAAACTTATCATTCGAATAATTGACCCCCAATATGACAAAGTCGGTAACCATTAAGAAGAACGCGTCAATAGTACCAGTTTCTATGTCAACATCTTTATACTGCTACACACGCGCGCACGTGTATGTGTATGTGTGTGTATGTGTGTGTACATTCGCACATGTGCGCGTTTTTTATTTCGATGTATATGTGTCTGTGTGCTAGCCTGTATATAATGAGTTGAAAAGATCTTTCGATCACAGATGGGAATCAAACCTTGGATTTTTCAAGTTTTCCATTTTTCTGTACGAGTAGAAATTTGAAGAGTGCTTTACTTCAAAGGCGAAACAAAATCGACATTTCCCTCAAGCAGAAAATAGCTTCTAGGAATTGGTCTGAGAAAAGAATTGGTCAGAGAAAAGAATTGGTTTGGGATAATAGTGCCTGTTTGATGTTCTGACTCACACGTAGAACTGAATGTGTGTGTGACTGACGGAAATTTACATCATTCCCAGTTGAGGTATCGAACTGTAATGACTGGACTTCCTATCATCGGAGCAATTAATGGATTAATCGTGACACTGATTAAATTCTCTTTTAAACTAAATATACTTGTACAAACACTTACGTTTTATCGAAGTTCGTTTCTATCTAGGAAAGTTGAAATTAATATTGACATCAAGACCTAGTGTCTACCCCCTCCCAGATAGCACAAGAGGCACTCGAGGTGTCCCCAAATGGGCAAGAGCAGATGGAGCTTTAGCAATTTTTTTTTACAGTATTTCCGTTAAACCCACTTTAAACTGACCTTGTGTCACATTCGCTAGCGACGTGAGCGAATTGAAAAAATACATACACGTGCACGTACACATACAATCGCGCATATGTGCAAAAACATCCTCACTGCAAATATACATACACGCATATATATATATATATATATATATATATATGGTGAAATAATTTATTACATGGAACCTTAAAGTGGTCTGTTTTTATTTAAATTATTTGCTCTGGATTTACATTGAGCTCTCTGGATTTTATCCTCCTGAGATTGGCACAACTGGCGTGGTTGCAGTTGAAGGGTTTTTGAATTTGTTTCGGAGGTCAAATATTCATGTAATGAGTTCAATCCTCACCGAGTATCCGACAATCCCAAACTCTGTGCAAGAATTTGAAATATTTATAATCTATTTTCGATCGGGGCTGGAGATTAGTGTTTGATTTCAACCAATGTCAGAATAATTCCTTTAAATGTAGGTATACATATTTAATTTCAAATATTGGCGCAGTATAATCTTCCTCGTTACATTCTTGTCATTTTGTCTTCTGTCATACTTAGACTGTCTTAATAAATATGGCACTCTTAAAGAATCAAAAGTGAGTGAGTTAAGTGGGTGGGGGGAGGGAATCAATGGTGTTCTACCATCATTGTTTATTGTTGGAGGTTATTTATTTTGAGACAAAATAGAAACGACTGAGTAACGTAATTATCGAATGAAATCTCGTTTTATCTCATGCGATACTGGGACTTGACAAGATTCGATAAAATATCACGTTATTTTTTCCTTTTTAACTTTAAGTGTTGGCCTTTAAGATTTGTGATTCTATCAAAAGCAAAGAAGAATTTCAGATTGACGCAAAGAGGCGTTCAAAAAGAACTGAAGACTTCACGAAAATGTGCAAAAATATTAAGATAGGAAGAGAAAATGATTTACTTTGCAGATAATCGATCAGTTCTTGATTTTTGGCTGATTTGATTAGTGGGTTTTTTTCTATTTGATTTCAAGACATTTGGAACATGTCTTTTGCTGCATCGACACATTCAAACCATTTTGATTTTTATTTATTTGTGCATTCTGTTCATGGACAATATTTTATAATTTCTACTTATTGTACATTTTAGGACATCTTCCTTTCATTCATAAAGACTTATTCTCTTCCTTCTCTCTTCCCTCTTCCTTTCGTCTCTGTTCCTTTTCTCTTCTTTCTTTCTTCCTTCTCTCTTCCCTCTCTCTTCTCGTTTGGCTTCTGAATTAATCCAAACTCAGTATGAATTTCAATTCGACATAAACATAAAAAAAAATCAATAAAAATTTCTAACTTGACTCTGTATCTAACTTCAGCGCCCACGATGTTCACTTCAAGACACTCGTTGATATTCAGCGACATCCTTGACAATACAATTTTCAAAGACATCTTTCTGCACTGCAGTTAATTTTAGAGAAGAAATCGAAGTTGACGAACGACTTGAATTATCGCCACTTTCAATTTCATTCAGCTACAGTTTATCCGTCTAGAGTTTTATTACCAGAAGCTTCTTTTTCCATTGTTCTTTTGTTCAGGAGTTTCACAGTAAGTTATTGCCAAGTTTAAGGTTAAAAGTGAAAAACAAAATCGCTCTATTTGCATTTATTAAGTCCTAAATATGTTTTTATTGCTCAAGTGAAAGAGGTTAATTTAGAATGAGGTTCTGAATGAGTGACTAACCACCAAAGCCTAAAGAATCTTTACCGTATCAAACCAATTAATTTTAATATCTATATTCATCTTTTGATTGTATATAAAGAAATAAGTCATTTTATAGACATGAACGAACAATAAGTCTTTATAAATCGATATATATAGCAATATATACGTGCAATTTCTACCTTATTCACGGCGTCCTGGGTATGACGATAAACTGCATCCGCGTCGTGGGTAAGACGATAAACTACGTCCAACAGCAAGGCCTCTGATCAGGAGGCTTTGAGTAGCGTGGAACCACCTCTTAATGGCTGGTGTTCCCAGGTCCACCCTGACCCGGAGTAGTAGCACCTGTTAGGGGTCCCAGCTATGGGCAAATAGTTGACCCCACAACCTGACTCAAAACATTATGAAAGTGTAAAAATACGTTTTAGTACCAGAAATACTTAAAAAAAATTAATAACAGCAATAAATATGTGAAAAAAGAAAATATTACCAGAAATAAAAATCTTGTCAGCATTAAATAACCCATTGAGGTTAATATGCCACAAAACAAACCAAACCAAACTATACATTATTTAAAAAAATATTACCAGCTATACATTTTTGAAAAAAAAGGAAATTTTGTCGGCATTAAATAACCCATTGTGATATTGATATGGCGTAAAACAAAACAAAACAAACCTTATTCACGGTTCTTCCTTCTGGTGTTTCAGTTATCCGCTGTCAACTGCAAAAATTAATGATTCATACATTGTACGCAATAACTGACCTAAAGTTGTGATGTAAGCAATTTGGATTTGCCAAAGAAAAGCCGAAATTTTTCATTTTTTAAAAAAATTTAATTTCTTAACTGCATTCATTATTTAAAAGAGGACTATTGTCCCCATCTTTGTTGTCGTTGTCACAACGTTTCAATCGATTTACCGTCTGGTCTTCATCAGTTGTATGTCCATCCGGATAAACTACAGGAAATTTTGAACTGCACTCTTTATTTAATCTACGGGAATAATTTGTTCTTGTTCCACTGCCCATGTCCAGGGATACCTCCTCTCGTTTCTATTTTAGTACTGCTTAGGTATTGCTCTCTCCATTTCCACTAAATCTAAGTACACACTAACCAGCCCAAGGGTTAAACCTAGTCACCAAATTCATAGAGGAACGCTTAAATCCATTAGGCTATTGTTACGTGAAAGTTCTTAATTGATTAAGGAAAGAAAAAAAATCATCTTATTCGTCATAACGTTTATTCAAATATGTTGTTATAATTGTTCTATTTTAAGGTATGGCCTAAAAACAGACATTTAATAAAAATGAGAAGAAAATGAATTAATAAAATAAAAATATAATAAATTTTATTAACAATTTTCGGTCTGAAGAGATGAATATATAGAAATATTCATGAAATAAATTCTAACCGAAATGGATCTTTAAAGTTTTCTTCTTGATTTATCATTATATATATATATATATATATATATATATATATATATATATATATATATATATATATAATAGTAAAGAAAGAACAGTAAAATATATCATCCGGTGTTAATCAATCATTAATTACTTTTATTTTTATAAAACATTGCTCAATGCAAATCTGCAGAGCATAAATATTATAAATTTACTAGTTTAAAAATATGGCTCCATCGTTACGCAAGAATTACCATGTTTCAAAAAACAGAAACTAAAAACTTAAATTTATTTATAGAATTAAATTAAAATCCCTAATACTGTTTCATTTTCAAGCGAATTTCTTGAAAATGAAACAGTATTAGGGATTTTAATATTTTTAAGTAGTAATTATATATATATATATATATATATATATATATATATATACATTGGCCTCCACAAAAATGGATGCGATTTTTCTGAAATGAAACCCAAAAATCGCTAACGGTTGTTTGAAAATCTTTATTAAGAAGAAGGGAATTTTCAGATTCCAGCGAAATTTTCACTACTTATTCATGAATGAATTAATGTTTACCATTTTTTTTTTACCCCAACTCCAGTTTTCGATATCTCCTAAGTACTTTTTAACTTGGATGATGTGCATCTAATTTTCTTACGGTTATATAAAGAAACATTTCTGAAAGTTATGCAATGTCAAATGTGAACATACGGAAAATTCTTCTTACCCAAATAATAAAACTCAAAAAAGAATTTTTTTAGAATTGTTACTTGCACAATTTAATACAACACGTTATTTTCTTTCAGAAAAAATACATTTAATATTTATTTTTGAAAGAAATTCTTGTAATATTTCAATGCAGTTTTGGAATTAATACCATTTCTCTTCGCCACAAGAATTCCTTTTATTAAATAAAGATACGTTTGAAGATTAAAAATATGTAAAGTTACAGCCATTTTCGAATGTGAAACTTTTTTAAAAAGAATTTTCTTTTTTACTTTTAGCAACATTTATATTATATTATATTTTTTGTTATGGATGTACAAAAAGTACATAATTCTGATACCTCGCTTTCACTGACTACCATTTAATATCGGAGGAGTATTAAATATTAATCTAATTTCATATCTCCCGTTCAACAGTTTTTATGTCTTGAATGAAGTTTTCCGATTCATCGGTACGTGTTTACTTTTTTTTCGCGTGTCTTTTTTTTCTGCATTTATGTACATATTCTTGTGTCCAAGAATAACCAATACTTACTTCAGTAATTAAAGGTAAGTTGTTATTTTAAGTTTTTATTATTTTAAAAAACAGTGACTTATTTTTACCTGCATAATTCCTTCCTCTCGTTAACAAGAAATTTTAATTCGCATAAAACTCTAATTTACTCTTAGAATAAATGCTTTTCTTTTCACATTAATCTAACGAAAATTACTTTGACGCCATATTTTTGTTATGATAGCCTCTTAACGCCTTCAAATTTATTCATTATACTAAGTTTGATAAAGTCTTATAGAATCAAAAATTATATTCATAAACTATTTGTTATAGAAGGTTAAGGAAAATTTATTTTTAAACTTAAATAACAAATTTTTACACTTTTGGTCTTCCATCTTCTTATAGGTTTTATACTTACTTTAGAGGGGTGGAATTACAGTTTTTTTTTATTTGTCCTTTGACCTCACAAGCTACTAACGTGAGTAAATAAAAAGTTAGTTTCACTCTGCTTTAAGTAAAAAGGTAAGCATTACTTTTAGATAATCCATTTAAGTAATCCTTGAATTTTCTAAGAGATTTTGAAACACGAGGAGAAATTTTGGATTTTAAAGAGAATTTTAAATTTGTTTACATTTTTCGTATACAATAGTGGCATGATGAGTGACCTAAAAACATACCAATGTTTTAAAAATGCCTGAAAGTTTATTTATAGACGGAAATTAATTAAAAAAAATCAGATTAGCTTTAGGCCATTATCTTTCAAAGAGAACCAACATTTAAATTCATAGAACGCATTTAAATTATTCAAAATGCGTTTCTCGGATTTTTAGAAAAAGTTTGTGGCGGCATCTAATATATATATATATATATATATATATATATGGAGGAGATAGATAGATGGGGAAGAGAAATATGTAACCTGACAAACTTCCATTCCGTCTGTGTGTGTTGATGAGCCGAGAAAAAAGTCGTTGTTTCTGTTCCTTCCTCGTCGTGTGAGTTGAATCGACAAATTGAAACATAAAGATCCAAAGATCCATTCGTCTTCTTCTCTAATTGGTTTTGACGCCATTGACCCGACAACAAAACCGCCATCCATTGATTGAAACCTCAATGAGAAGAAATCGTTTGTTGTCGCCAAAAACAAAACAACAGACATTTCGGCAGCGATTAGTCTTCGTACATGGCGCTTCAATGCCGTTGTCTTTCTTTCTTTCTTTCTTTCTTTCTTTCTTTCTTTCTTTCTTTCTTTCTTTCTTTCCCTTTTCTCCTTTTCTTTCTTTGTCTCTTCCTTTCTTTCCTTACTTATTTTTCTTTCTTTCTGTCATTCTTTCTTTCTTTCATTGTGAGATTATTTATTCATTTCCTTCTTTCTTTCCTTTTTTTCTTTCTTTTTTTCTTTTTTGGTCATTTCTTTCTTTCTTTGTCAGTTATTTCTTTCTATTTTTCCTTTTTTTCTTTCTTTCCTTCCTTTTTTTCTCTTTCTTTCTTTCTTTCTTTCTTTCTTTCTTTCTTTCTTTCTTTCTTTCTTTCTTTCTTTCTTTCTTTCTTCTCTATTTCCTTCTTTCCCTCTCTCTTTCTTTGCCCGTTTCTTTTTTCCTTCTTTCTTTCCTTCCTTTTTCTCTCGTTCTTTTCTTTCTTTCTTTCTATGCCTATCTATTTCTGTATCTTTTTATTTTACTCTTTTCATATCTATTTACATATTTATATGATTGTTCTTGTTTTTCTTTCTCCTTTTCTGTTAACATTGGTCCGAAACAAAAGACTTGCATTTTTGGATTTGCTCTCTCTCTCTCTCATCAGTGTTCAAGCGCAAATGGTGTCCAATAATTCAAATGAAATGAAATGCAAATTTGAATTGAGTGTTGAAAAAATTAAAATTACAGAAGCCCACTGCCGATGAAGTAAGTCCACAAGACAGAAGGATATTAAATTCCACTCTGATCGGTTGCTAAGTTACATGTACTGCAGCACCAGTAGGTGTATCTAGGGCAAGATAACCTGGCAGAGTCCATCCCTCTTCTGGATGGGTTTGAATACAGAGTTGTCCTTCTCTTAGACTAATGGAGCCAATCTATTGCAGCGAAGGGTTGGTTTGAGCCATTAACATCAAACAATTCAGCAGAAATTCATTGTAGTTTCCGGTGCACGTTAGATAATTGGTGATTTTTTTTTTCTCCTTTTGTCTGAAGGATGGAATTCACTTGATTTTGTTTAAACACCAAATTCCATTGAACCAACAAAATGACAAGAGTTCATGTAAATAAGAGATAGGCACAAATGCACTAAATGATCCGGTCTGGCAGAGGTTCAGGCAAAATCTTTCGGAAAGGCAATGGTTTAAGGATTGGAAATTAAAGAAAATAGAATTGAAAAATTAATAATTTTTTTTGAACAAACTTGTTTTGAACAAAATTCAAATAACGGACAATAAGAATTTTGTAATTATAATCTTGTCTAAAGCGTTTTATGTTTTTATTCCGATTTTATTTCAGAGTTGAATGACAACATGTGAATAAATCATTTAAATCATTTAAATCATTCTGTTTCACACCATAAAGATACTATAAATACCATATGGATTTTTTTTGTTGGATATATACATACATATTTATAATTATTATAAATGTTATTTTAATGGATACACAAGTTGTGACCCTGTTTTTAATTTTCTTAAATTTATTTAATAACAAACGTTCTCATTGAGAAGGATCACTAAAGAAAGATTGTACCCCACCGTTATTATTAATTTCAGTATTTAAAAAAAAAACAAACAAACAAACAAAAAAAAGCAAGTCAAACACGTGCCACCAATAAAAAAAACATTTATATTAATGAGAAATAATGTCGGATAAAAAAATTGATTCTTTTCAAAACTGATTGTTGTTTACGTTTCGGTTACGGAACTGAACATAGCAGATCTAGATTCATAGAAATGCCAACGGCAGGTGTACATCCCTTAAATAGGTCATTTAAACGTTGCTCAATCAGGTTCGTTCCCGTGGCCAAACTGGTAACCAGACTTTTCTGCTAATAAGAGTTTTTCCCTGCTGGAAAAAGGTGATACGTCTTCATTTTTTGTCGGAGGCTCAATATTTCTTTAGCAGGTCTTTTCAATCAAGGCCGGTCATTATTTGTAGGCCTTTTCCATTAAGGCCGGTCATTATTTGTAGGTCTTTCCAATCAAGGCCGGTCATTATTAGTAGGTCTTTCCAATCAAGGCTGGTCATTATTAGTAGGTCTTTCCAATCAAGGCCGGTCATTATTAGTAGGTCTTTCCAATCAAGGCCGGTCATTATTAGTAGGTATTTCCAATCAAGGCCGTTCATTATTAGTACGTCTTTCCAATCAAGGCCGGTCATTATTAGTAGGTCTTTCTAATCAAGGCCGTTCATTATTTGTAGGCCTTTCCAATCAAGGCCGGTCATTATTAGTAGGTATTTCCAATCAAGGCCGGTCATTATTAGTAGGTTTTTCGAATCAAGGCCGGTCATTATTAGTAGGTCTTTCTAATCAAGGCCGTTCATTATTTATAGGCCTTTTCAAACAAGGCCGGTCATTATTTGTAGGTCTTTCTAATCAAGGCCGGTCATTATTTGTAGGCCTTTCCAATCAAGGCCGGTCATTATTAGTAGGTCTTTCCAATCAAGGCCGGTCATTATTAGTAGGTCTTTTCAATCAATACCGGTCATTATTGGTATGTTTTCTAATCAATGCCGGTCATTATTTGTAGGCCTTTCCAATCAAGGCCGGTCATTATTAGTAGTTTTTTTCAATCAATACCGGTCATTATTAGTAGGTCTTTCCAATCAATGCCGGTCATTATTTGTAGGCCTTTCCAATCAAGGCCGGTCATTATTAGTATGTCTTTCCAATCAAGGCCGGTCATTATTAGTAGGTCTTTCTAATCAAGGCCGTTCTTTATTTGTAGGCCTTTTCAATCAATGCCGGTCATTATTAGTAGGTCTTTCCAATCAATGCCGGTCATTATTAGTAGGTCTTTCCAATCAAGGCCGGTCAATATTAGTAGGTCTTTCCAATCAAGGCCGGTCATTATTAGTAGGTCTTTCTAATCAAGGCCGTTCATTATTTGTAGGCCTTTTCAATCAATGCCGGTCATTATTTGTAGGCCTTTCCAATCAATACTGGTCATTATTAGTAGGTCTTTCTAATCAAGGCCGTTCATTATTAGCAGGTCTTTCTAATCAAGGCCGGTCATTATTAGTAGGTCCTTTCAATCAATACCGGTCATTATTAGTAGGTCTTTCCAATCAATGCCGGTTATTATTTGTAGGCCTTTCCAATCAAGACCGTTCATTATTTGTAGGCCTTTTCAATCAATACCGGTCATTATTAGTAGGTCTTTCTAATCAATGCCGGTCATTATTTGTAGGCCTTTCCAATCAAGGCCGGTCATTATTTGTAGGTCTTTCTAATCAAGGCCGTTCATTATTTGTAGGCCTTTCCAATCAAGGCCGGTCATTATTAGTAGGTCTTTCCAATCAATGCCGGTCATTATTAGTAGGTCTTTCCAATCAAGACTGGTCATTATTAGTAGGTCTTTCTAATCAAGGCTGTTCATTATTTGTAGGCCTTTTCAATCATGGCCGGTCATTATTTGTAGGTCTTTCCAATCAAGGCCGGTCATTATTAGTAGGCCTTTTCAATCAAGGCCGGTCATTATTAGTGGTTCTTTCCAATCAAGGCCGGTCATCATATGAAATATATTTGTTCACTTAGCGGTTATATGACGAAACACAAAGACGAAATGGAAAGACCGATGAACCTGACAGAAATTAATCATCTTATCCTCGGAAACGATCGCAAAACCAAAGGCGAAAAAGTAAAAACCCAACGTAAACGAAAAAGAAAAATGCCAAATCTGGAAAGAAAAAATAGAAACCGAAATAACTAAACAACGAGTCCACTTGTCTCTTGTAAGTCAAATAGACAAGGACTTTAAAATGAAAAGGGAGACAACTGAAACGAAGCCTTGACATAAAGAATAAGAGTTGATGTACCAAAAGTTAAAGAGAAGCTGAAACAACAAATTTAAGTGAAGGCAGAGAATCAGGCGTTATGAAAAAAGAACACAGATTCTTCTGGTAACACAAGATCTTCAAAGAAAACTATATCAAGAATATACCAGAACTATACCAGAAACTGTATCAAGAACTTGGAAAAAATAAAATAGCGATAAATGACCCACTTAATATCCAGAAAGTCGAGGTGTTCTGGTGTAAGATGTGGGAAAACTACAAAATGCACAATGAAAGAGCTACATGGATCAGGCAACAACTAGAATAATAGAGTGCCAAAAAATGGACAGATATCAATATTACTGAAACAACAGCTGCCATCGGCAAAACCCAAAACTGGAAAGCACCAGACCGAATAGCTAATTTTTGGATTAAAAAAAAACCTTTCTAGCACCCACCAAAACCTCGCACGGGCATACAATGATATCTACCTACCCCCCTCCCCCATCTCCGCCAAAAATAAAAAATGCCCCAAATGGCTCATATCTACAAAACAGAAGCGACGCAGAATCCAAAGAACTATAGGCCCATCACCTGCCTATCAACAATGTACAAGATCCTCACTTCTGTCATAACCGGAAGGATATACAACTTCCTTGAGAAAAACAATTTACTCCTAGCAGAACAGAAGGGTTGTAAAGGAGGAAGTTACGGGTGCTAGGATCAACTAATTATCAATAAAACAATAGTGGAAGAAAGAGGTGAAAACAAAGGAAAGACACTTATCGACAGCATGGATCGACTACAGAAAGGCGTTCGACAGTGTTCCACACCCATGGATAAGGAGCCTAAAAATATACAGATTATGATCCACAACGGTCAAATACATAACGGAGAGCATGTAAAACTACACTAAATCTAAACCATACAAACGGGACATTAACATCGAGACCAATCAACATCAAAAGCGGGATCTTCCAAGGAATTTCATTGTCATCACTAATCTTCTGCGTTGCATTAGCGCCATCCCCGAGTCTTGTCGTGCCGTGCAGCTCTACCCTCTTGGCCACTCTGATCATGCTGTCGTGTCTGTTAACATAATCTTCTACTCTTCCACTAGTAAAGAGCCTCCTACCAACAGAACATCTTTCTATTATCAACGATCAGATTGGGGCTCGTTCTGAGATTTCCTTCGCGATGTCCCCTGGAATACTGTCATTAATCTCCTCGTCCAAAAAATTGCGTCTGAGGTCTCATCCTAGGTAAAAGCTGGAATCGAGGTTTTCATCCCCTCAAAAATCCCCGTAAAATCGCGTTCATCCCCTTGGTTCTCAGCTGGTTTCTCTATAAAGGAATCACTACTTCCGACTATACCGTAGAGACATGTTTGATTACAACATACGTCTCTTTGTCACTGTCTGTAACGAGTGAAAGCATGTCCTCACAGAAACAAAGTTATCTTTGCCGAAAGAATGAATCAACGTATTGCAAGTTTGCTTCAAAAGATTACTGGCGCCTCTGCTAAAGCGTGCTAAACAACAGCAAACCCTCAATACCCCCTTTATTCAACCAATTTGAGATCCTGACCTCAGCTGATAAGGCTAAATGCTTTGCTCGTAAATTCTCATCCAATTCAATGCTAGACTCATCTGATGTACCAACACCTGATTTTTAACCTAGAACTGAGGCTCTACTGAAGGAAATGGATATAACCCCAACTGTGTTATTGGGCATCATCTCTAAATTAAACTCCCATAAGGCTAGTGGTAGGGACGGAATACTGGCCATTGTCCTGAAGAAATTTGCTCCTTAGTGATCCAGACGTCTTTCTTGAACTGGCAGTGAAAAGTTCTGCCAGTTCAAGAAAGACATTCGGATTACTAATACAAAAAAAGAGAATGTCTCATATCGAGAATATTTAACATCGAAAAACATAAAGGAAAAAAAAATGATTATTTTTAATAATATGGAAATCTCCACCCTTTGCCTGATGACGGCCGCGAGACCAGAAACACGTGTAGTAAAATTATGGAAAATAAAGCATAATATTTAAAAAAAAAAAATTCACATTTCAACCAAAAACGTTTGCGGTTTCTCTCTTCTATATATATATATATATATATATATATATATATATATATATATATATATATAGTTTATGAAAAACTAGGTAATCCGTATGGGTAAGCCTAAGGAGGATAAAATCCAGAGAGCTCAATGTAAATCCAGAGCAAATAATTTAAATAAAAGCAGACCACTTTAAGGTTCCATGTAATAAATTATTTCACCACAGCCCTTTTAAAGGACTGCGGATATATATATATATATATATATATATATATATATATATATATATATATATATATATATATATATGTGTGTGTGTGTGTGTGTGTGTGTGTGTGTGTGTGTGTATTGTGCAAAAGCCATGCTAATTAATAAATTCTCTACTTGAAAATACATGTTTCGTATTTCTTTTTTCACAGATAATGCGTTCACTTTACGAACGACATTTACGTAACTAAGCTTCATAAACTGTTTCGGTGCTTTAACATTTGAGGGGAAACCTACAAAAATATAATCACAAATCTTATTTTTTTCTTTAACCATGTAAATTTTCATATTTTCAGACGTCTCTCTATATTGTCTTCTTTTTCATTTACATTCCAGACTCTTCCATCGTAGATGTTCTTTTTTATTACAATCTCTCTTCCTCACTTTCTCTCTCTCTCTCTCTCTTCTCTCTCTCTCACTTTCTCTTTCTTCCTCTCTATTTCTGTTGGATGATTCTCTGTATCTTTCTTTCTGTTTTTTTTTTTCATATTTTCCTTTCTTTTTACCTCCATATATTCATCTTCTCGCTATCACCTTTTCTCTATCGCAATATATTTGCAATCTATGACTATCACAGAACTTAGAAGAACTAAACTATAAAGTTCAGGAATTCAAAAAAAATGTTTCTTTATCTTTATTGTTCCAAATTGTAAGAAAATTTATCAGCCGACATTGACAGGAAATAAAAAAGAAATTCACCGAGGTACTCGTAGCCTTCATTCTGTTACTCTATCCTGTGATGAATCCCGCCTGCGTCTGTGCATATTAAATCTGTCCGGGTAGTCAAGATAAGAACCATTGATTAGCTGATAGTTTTGCTAAGTGAAAAAATAGAAACATTTAAGGAGGACAATTAGTTTTGTTTTGCTATTTTGGTGGGGAGCGTGTTAGATAAAAAAATCGTTTTCGCTTTCATAAAAGAGAACGCTCCTGAAAATGAAATCAATTTTTTATAGCTTTTGTTTGTCTGTTCTTTTTAGCGGCATATCGACTCCTTATGCCGAAATTTATTTTTCTTGGGAGCATTAATAATTTCATTTACAAAAATGTGCTGCTGGTAATTTTTTTCTTCCAAATTGTATAGCTGTAATTTTTTTTCCAAAAATATATTGCTTGTATTTTTATTACGAAAATGTATTTTTATAATTTCATAGTGTTTTGAGCCCAGTTTGGGGGTTAACTTTTTGTCCATACCTGGGACCCTAACAGGTACTACCACCTTGGGTTAGGGTAGACCTGAGAACAATAGCAATTAAGAGGTTGTTCCACGATCCAGAAAACCTCCCCATCAGAGGTCTTGCTGCCTGATGTAGTTTATATTTTTGATAGTAAAATTGGAAAAACGATATCTTGGTGGTAAAAATCCCCAAAAAACAAATATGCAAGGCCAATCCTTTGAAAAGTGAAACTATTTTGCCTGTGTTTTCTCTGTGTTTCTGATTTTAGATTCTTTAAAAATTCCTGACAAGATAACATTTTTGGAATTTCCAATCAAATCAGTAAGTCTCAATGGACGTCATTGGTGCAGGATGGATTCTCGACGACCTTTCAGAAAGATTTCAGAAAAGGCAAGGAAATGTTTTCTTATTTATATTCTGCGAAGCAATTATGAGCGAGTGTAAAAAAAAAGAAGAAAAATATGAAAAACTGCAGTGATTCAACTGAAGTGGAATGTTGCTGAGAAAAAGAAAAAAAAACTTGTTTATGTTAAGATTAATTAGACTAGTTGTTCCGATTCAACGATTAGCGATCAGTTGAGTTCGGAAGAAGACGATTGGGAGTGATTAAGAGAGAAAGACGCGGTTTGTTTATTCAGGGGAGGGGAAGTGCATCAGGAAAAAAAAGCAGGAAGTATAAACGGGCGTGTGCAGCTATGAAACAAGAAGGAAGGGAAATGAGTTTGTTACCGAGAAAAAAAAAGGATCGTGGAATAAATTAAAAACAAAAATCAGTTTTTGGACGAGGATTTGATTAAAATCTAGAGAAACTCATTAACCCGGGATCTATGAAAAGATGTTCATTAACACGCACGGACGTGCGTGCGCGCGATATTTATCCGGAAAGTATCCAGCCACGAATCACTAACGAAAAAAAAAAAAAAATGAGGCCTGAAGGCCGTTTCAAAGTACTAAGCTTGCGACATTAGAAATTTCTGCAGAAGTGAATTGTGTGATGGTTCTCTTTCTGACAGACGGTGCCCAACTGACCCTACTATAATGTGCAGTCAACAAAATCAAGCACAATGTGCATGTGCAAAATCAAAAATATAAAATGGCGGCAATTTACCCATCACACCCTGCATAGATAGATAGATAGATAGATAGATAGATATACACTGACCGAAAATTCTAAAGAAATTCAGCACAGAACATGTTTTGATTCATACAATAAATAACCTAGATATAATATCACTGGATTACAGTAAAT